GCCACAGCCTTGCTCTGAGGGGCCACAGCGGAGCACAGGTCAGACAAAAGCTCAGCTGTGTGGGAGTCACCCTGGGCTGCTTGGAAACAAAGGGAACAGGGCCAAGGGTGAGGGCCAGCCTGCTCACACCAAGTGCCCCGGAAACAGGCCTTGTCCTTTCCTTCAAAGCCCAGAAGAAAGAGAGCAGGGGTCTGAGAGCACAAGGGTGAGGAGCTGCAGGTGTCCCTTGCCTTGGATGACAGAGGGTGACCCAGGCAGCAGGGAGGACTTGGCACAGACAAAGTGCTGGGGGGCTTGGAGGGCAGCCGAGTCAGGGGCTGGGGGCCTCTCCCTGGGGGCCCAGGCTGCAGTGTTGGGGAGAATGAGACACGGGGAGGGGGTGACCAGCGTGAGACCAGAGAGATGACCACAGGCTGGACTAGCAGTGATGTGGCGTGAAGGTGGCTCTCAGAGGACCCACTGCCTGACAGGAGGGACAGAGCCGAGGCAGGGACACCTATAGGACCCCCATGGACCTGAAGAGCACAGGGACTGTCTCTGAGGACAGGAGGCTGCCAGGGCCCACGGGAAAGACTGGGCCACAGGTGGCACAAGTAGGTCCAGGAGGGAGGAGTGGGAAGGCAGGGCCCTGAAGGGACATCAGGGAGCAAAGTGGCCAGGGAGCTTCCCAGGAGGGTACAAGGGACAGTGAGCACCACACTGGCTGGTCAGAGGCCCCAGGACAGGCAGGCAGCTTTGGGGTCAGGCAGAGTAGAGGCCTGGACAGGAAGTAGGTGGAGGCCATGGTGCTGGGAGATCCTGCTGCTGTCCCTTAGGCCCCTGGACACTGGACAGGACACGTGCTGGCCAGCACAGTCAGACTGTGGAGTCTGGGGACTCTGGCTGATGAGCACCTTCAGGACAGTCAGGATCCTGTCCTCTTCAGGAATAACCAGAGCCGTGCACAGCAGGCACTTCTCCACACCCGTGTGCTGAGACAACTGGGGTGTCCCCTGCCTGCCGAGCTGTAGAGCAGCACAGGAGCATGGCCAACAGGAAGAGCACCCCCAGCACGACCACCTACTCCCCGGACCTGGGTGGAGGCAGGGTCGCCGCAGTCCCGGGGGCTCAACCAGTCTCACCCTCACACTGCACCCGAGAGCCAGGCCTGCGTGTCTGCAGAGGGACACGGAGCAGAGTGCAGCACAGGATGGGACAGCGGGCTCGGCTCAGGCTGCTCAGCTCTGTATCCTGAGGACCTGGATCTGGGGGCGCAGAAGAGCCCCAGGGTCCGGCAGGGGCCTGGGGCTGTGAGACAGAGGTGCGAAGGCAGCCTCTCAGCCCGAGTCCTTCCTCCTCCTTCCTGTGGGAGGATTCTGTTATTCTTTTCCCAGTTCCAACACTTCAGTATTTTTAATTTTCCTTTTTAAGTAACACCATCTCAAAGCTACCCACTTTTCCTCCGGGAACATCAGCGCCACTTTGCCTGACTTCAACAGGATGCGTTTTCCTTGAGCCCTGACCTGGTGGCTATGTAAGCTTTGCTAAGAGGACACCGAGGATGTGAACCAGCAAATCAGCCCAGGAAAAGAGAGGACTGCGGAGTCAGGGCAGACGCCACCCGGCAGAGCAGCCTGCAGCAGGACGGGGCAAGCTGTCCAGTTTGGAGGAGAACAGAGGATGGACACCAGGGAAAGCTGGTACAGACACCATCAGCAGGAGCATTTCACAGGTGCAGGACATGTGGGGAGACCCGCAGGAGCTCAAGGCAGTGGGGACCGAGGCGCACTGAGCAAGCACCACCACAATCACAGCACTCCACCCAGCATGGCATTAGAAGCCAGACACTCAGCACCAAGGACAGCAGAAGCCTCACAGGACACAGAGCCACCTGCCGGAGTAGCCACCACAGGGGCAGGAATCCAATGAAGGAGGGAGGGAGGAAGGAGGGGAGGGCCAGAGCTCAGTTCTGTCTTGTCAATAGTCATTTTCAGCCGGGTATGTCTGGCACATGCCAGTCAGGCCCAGCTACTCAAGAGGCTGAGGCAGGAAGATCACAAGCTGCTCTAGGCCCACCTGGGCTACTCAGCAAGACTCTCTCTCAAAATAAAAAATAAAAGGGCTCCCTGGGTTCAATCCCCAGTACCCCTCCCCCGAACACACACAGCCATTTCAGATGGTGTGTTAGTCACTTCCCTGTGACTGGGATAAAATACCCAACACCTGCAATTTATTATTTTGGCTTATGGCTTCAGAGGGTTCAGTCTGTGGCCCGCTGGCTCCAAGGCAGAAACAGTATGGTGGGAGGGCCTGGCAGAGAAAAGCTGTTCAAACGATGGTAGCCAGGAAGCAGACAGAGAAAGGAGCCAGGGACAAGAATATTCCTCCAGGCCGCACCCCAGAGGCCCTGCTCCTCTGCCCAGGCCCCACCTCCTAACAGCACGTTCAGCTATGAGCTCATCTATGGACAGATCCACAGAGCGAGTACAGTGTGCCCCACTGATCCAGGCACTCAGGGACAGCAGAAGCCAGGCACATGCTCTGCCAGATGCCCTTCCCTCCCTTCAGATCTAGAGCCACAGCCGTGCTGCTCCTTGGTGACCTGTGAAGAAGCCTGTCCTCAGCTCTCAGCCCAGTCCCTCTCTTTCCTATCCCTGCATCAGGAAGTGGTGGTGCTGTCCGCCGAGGCCCAGGTCTGGCTGACCGCTGGCGTCTGCCTGTGCCTCCCGACCAGAACAGCCCCTTCCACAAGTCCCAGGCAAGGCGTGGCGGTCTCAGCCACCCGGGCTTGGGGGAGCCACTCCAACCACACTCCACAGGATCCATTTCCGCCCCCACCCCCCCCCGCCCC